ATTTATTTTCGCTTATTCTTCTCCTTCTTTCTATTCTCTGTTATTCCACAGCACACTTTTCTCTACTTTATTTTCACTGCAGGTCGCGTGTGAGTGTGTGCGTCTTCTTTCTCTTTACCTGCTTCTTCTTCTTCTTCTTCTTCTTAAACCGCAGTGTTATCTTTTTTGCGCTCACTGACTCACAGGCACTGGCCTTGTCTCACTCGCACTGGCACTTGGCACACACAGGGACACGTAGGCAGCGGCGGGCACGCAACGCGATGCGGCGCCTTGAGACTCAGTCCGTTCCAGTTGCGTCCGCTTCGACGCCGGAACACCTGGATGACCGACAGCGACGACGACGACAGGTAAATGGCAACTGAGCGCTACACTACTCGCGACGCTCCACAGAGTGCCCAGCGATCGCTGAGGCCACGAAAGAGAGGCATCCGCTCTTGCACCACGAAGAAATCCACCACGAGTGGGTGGGATAGAGCGAGCGAAAATCGAAAGACTCAGGCAACGAACTTGTTGAATTTCGAAGAGGAGATTTCAAAATTTGGAAATTTAACAAATATAAAATGTTTTCTGGGAAAATATTAAATAAGTTTTTAATTCTTAATTGAAAACTTTATTTTAAAAATAAAATATTTTAACATTAAGGGAGTTTAAAAATAATTTTTATTTTTTCAATTAAAAAATAACATACTTTGGGTCAAAAATTTATTGTAATTGATGTTTTTAGATGGTTATGGAGTAAAATTATACATAAAATATTTTTATTTATTTATTAACAATCTGTCTTTTGACAATAGGTTAATTTTATAACTAGGAATATAAATTATTGAAATTGATTGTTGTTAAAGTGTTGAATACTTGTTGAATATTCACCACATTCCCAGGCTCCTTGCTCTCCCAACTCACTCCTCCGCCCCCTTCCGCTTCACCGCCTGTTGAACGTGTTGTGCTACTTTAATGTTTTTGTTGCTTCACATCGGAGTTTGCGAAAAATTTCCACCTTGGCATAACTAAATATGCCTGTGGGCTAAACTGGCATACGAAAAGAGAGCCAAAAGAGAGCAGGGAGATCAACGATCGTGGAATAACACCTTAAGAGCACACCTACCCACAGGTACAGAGAGAGAAAGAGTGTGTGTACATGTGAGCTGGATTACAGGCGCGCATGCTCAGCGCACGCCTCGCACCCTCTCCCTCGCGCATTCGCCTCTTTTGTTTGCAATGGAATTTCTTTCTTTTCATAAACATGTTTCTGGCCGCTGTTGTTGGCTTATTACAGCATTTACGGGCCAAGAGGGCCGGGGGAACTGGCGGCGGAGGAGCACACACTAAGCCAAAGTGGCATGAAACAAGTTCAGCGCGCTCGACAGCTCGGCTCTGGGCTCTCCGCGGCGGCTCTACCTTAGTTTTAGCTCCAGCTCCAGCCCCGCTTCTTGAATGACTGCGGCGCTGGAATGCAGTGTTGTAAATAGCTGAGGCTGCTGCAACGCAACTGCGACGCCAGCAGCGCCTGCGAGCGGTTGGGGCCCAGATTGTTGATGTTGTTGTTGTAGTTGTTGGCCGCAGAATCAGAGCAAGTCGCTGCCAAGATCGCGACAACGATCACCGCAGAGAAGAGCTGGAGCTGAGAACTGGGAGCTGGAGCTGCAGCCTTGCACTGTAAAAAAAAGACCCAGAAAAGTTTATCTAGATTTTATTTAGGTTAAGGTGATTTTTTTCTTGTTATAGGAAATTACAGAAATATTTAAATCTCAGGTTAGCAGATTTTTTACCATTTTCTGAGGCTTATTTAATTGAGGAAAACGAGGTTTTTGAATTTTTAACCAACCGCCAACATAACGAAATATAATGATTGTTAAATAGGAATATTAAATCGGATATTTGGAGGTTTACAATGTTTTAATCATATTTTATAACATTAGTTCTAGTACTTCTATTAAATTTCAGTCAATGGAAATCAGAAAAAATAAGTTAAATACTGACTTGAACATTTTAAAAACCTTAATAGAAGGGCAACTGATCGTCAGTTGCATTTGTTATTTTAAATATAAAAACAAGAAAGGAAGCTAACTTCGGCACGCCGAAGTTTGTATACCCTTGCAGATTGGTTTTGATGTTTATTTTATAGATTTAAATGCTGAAAACACTCACAAAACAGAGTTTCATTACATTTTACCTATACTTATTATGTTTACAGTTTGACAGTTACAGTTTTACATTCTCAGCTTTATATATTTTATACATTTACCGATCGCTTCTATGGCAGCTATAAGATATAGTTGTCCGATTTTTATGAAATTTATACCAAAATTCTAGAATAATAAAAAAAACGTATATCTCAGAGTAAATAAAAATGCGTTGAAAAACAACGAAGCTATAATTTTATTTCTATTAATTTCTCGATCGTTCCTATGGCAGCTATATCATATAGTCGTCCGATTTTCATAAAATTTTTACCAAAATTCTGGAATAATATAAAATGGCTATATCTCAAAAATGATGCAAAAATATTGAAAAACAGCCAAGTTATACTTTTTTTCTAAAAATTTATCAAACATTTGTATGGCAGCTATATGATATAGTCGTCCGATCCGGCCCGTTCCGACATATATAGCAGTGAGAGCATATAGAAGACTATATGCAAAGTTTCATTCAGATAGCTTTAAAACTGAGGGACTAGTTTGCGTAGAAACAGACAGACAGACAGACAGACGGACAGACGGACAGACAGACAGACGGACAGACGGACAGACAGACAGACGGACAGACGGACATGGCTAGATCGACTCGGCTGTTGATGCTGATCAAGAATATATATACTTTATAGGGTCGGAAACGTCTCCTTCACTGCGTTGCAAACTTCTGACTGAAATTATAATACCCTGCAAGGGTATAATAATAGATAGTAAAATATGTTATAATGCATCCCAGGAAAGGCACTGATGAAAACTTCTTGCAACTCTCGAAGATTTGTATTCAGCGTCTTTGGTTCTATGTTTCTGAATAATACAAAATATATAACCACCTCTGACCTCTATATAACTAGAAGAATTTCTCTGATATTTCCCAGTGCAACTGAAGCGTTTGCTGTTGCCGGAGCTAAGGCCAAAGCTGGAGCTGGAGCTGGAGCAATGAAAATTGCTGAGAGCGCCCCGAGGGCCTGCAACTTGGATTGCGACTGGACATGGCTCGGGTCTCGGTCTCCGGCCAAGAGCAGCTCTTGACCACGATCGATAAGGCTCACACACACCGGAGCAGTTGGGTAAGAGGTTCGTGTAGGTTATGTTTATGAATTGTGCTGCAGATTTCTGCACACGGAATTATGCGTTTATCTCAGAGGGTTAATTTCGCTGGCCGCCGCTCTTATTGTTGCTGTTACTGCGGCTGCTGTTTTCCATAGTCGGGGTAATTAAATCGCAAGAAGCTGATAATATATGGAAAAGGGCTCAAAGTGTAGGGGAAAATGGTTTATTTTTTGCCCTCTGCTTCTTTTTTTTTTTTTGGCCAAAAGGGTTTCTGGCTCTGTGGCTGCTGCTGCTTTTGCTTCAGTTGCTGCTGTACATTTGCCCGCTAGGAAATTATTCATGATAACAGAGATTGCATTGATTGATTGTGTGGCTGCACTCGGGATGGGTTCGCCGCGGATCGCCCGGGCAGGCTACGGGATCGGGGATCTCCAGAGGGGAGACCATGGCTTCGACGGCTGCCGAGCCTGAGTTATTTGGGCCATTAAATGTCTGTGATTTGGCCATAAGTTATAGGAACATCGACAATCAATTGTTGGCGGGTCTAGGCGGTTACCACATGTGGCAGTAGCTGGCCCCTGGCAACTGAATTCTGAAACTTAATAGTCTTTGAGTGGAATTCGGGAAGCGTAGTCAAAGGAGGAATATGGTCAATAATTCTACCGAAATCATATTTTATTGCCTTTATAAACAGGAGACTCTCTAGGAGATTAGCTTAAAGACTGCTTTCCCAGAGCTTCTGGGTGGGATTCGTTTAAATTTTATTGGAGAAAAGAAAAACCGTTTAAGGTGGTGGAAAACTTTAAGTTTGTTTGCATATCAAAATAATGTGGATCTCAGATTTTTGTTTTCTTTTAAATAAATTCTTTCAGTTCTTGTCGGCCCAAAATCCAAAAGCTATTTCTTGTGGAATTTTCATTTCCTCTACTAAAAAAATACGTTGCGACTCTCTTGACACTTTGACCTTGTTAAAGCCGTTTGTGTGTTTTAATTGATTATAATTAAATTACTCCAGTTAAGGGTAAGCATTACTTGGAACCAAATATAGCTGCAGGCATAAACCCAGATAGCAGGCCCTAAAATATGCAATGAAAACGTTTTTGGCCTCGATTCGGCAAGGCGGGCCCGCCGAGTTGAACAACCCAGAGCCAGAGCTGAAGGAGGAGGAGCAAAAGGAGGAGGAACAGGAGGTTATATGACCAAATATTGGCACAAATGAGCGTGTCTTCGGTGCATTGACGATTTCGACTTCCCCGAGTTCCGTATCGACCAAACAGGAAACGTACGGTTACAGGAGAGATTCCTTAGCGTTCCCCCCTTGGAGCCGCCGAGCTGCCATGGCGACACACTTGCACTGCAGCAGGGGAAATGCTAATAATGTCTGTGTTTTGGAATCTCGCTGACAGGGCACGACATGGCACCAAACACATTATGGAGGCACACTAAACCATATACATATAGGGGATATATATGGGGCCCAGCGAGTCTATAAAAGCTTGGGCCTGCACCGGAGGAGGTTTCAGTTCAACTTCATCGCGTCGTCGTTCTGTCGTCCTGTCGCTCACTCTTTTGCAGAAGCAAAGAAACAATTAAAGTGCAAACCGCAAGGCGGAAGGAAGTGCATACCACAAGTGTTTCCCCTACCCCAGCCCCGTCACCAACGGGCCGAGTTGCATGTCGGATTGTGGCACAAACTTTTAGCCAAGTCCCCTCCCCAAGACCCCAGTTAGGCGCACATGTTGGCCCGTGCAAAGTAAAATGAAAGCGGACAACTTCAACCTCAAGTACGGCGCCCCTTTGTACCAACCGAAGAGTTCCAGTTCCAGGAGCCACTCGCAGAACCAACCGCAGGCCCACATCGGCAACATCGGCCATCTGACAACGTCCTCGCTGCTGACGAGCGACGACCTGCGTCATCTCGCCCAGCAGCGCTCCACAGGATACTCCGACCGGGAGAGCATCGCCAGCGTGAGCAGTGCGGGCGGCCGCATTAAGCGTCGATCGAGGTAATCCCTTACTCCCTCCTCTTCCAACTGTCAAACTGCCTTGACTTGTGGCCTGAACTTTTTCAACTGCCAACTGACAAAAACAGTTTATCTCAAGTTCTCGGGGTGAAAAACAAGGCAATTGCATAACAAAGTCAAGTTGCAACATTTGCAAAGAGTTCAGTAAAAGTTAGAAGCCACTTGAATAAAAGTGCTCAACATTTAATAAAAGTGCTATTATGTTTACGAAAACAGAAGAAATGGAAAGAAATCAGAATCAGAAATCAGCATATATTGAAGATTGGCCTAAAAGGTAGTGATTGGTTAGAGATACAACTTTAAAAAAAAACTCTCAAAAAGAAGAAAGGTCTTTAATAAAAGAAAATTTTTTTTTTTAAATGCTAATAATTATTTAAAAATAGTTTAATATTTTAAGTTTCATATTAAAAAAAAAGCCTTAAAGTGTATGTTAGACTGCAAAATGTTAAATTAAACGCAAAAAGTTGGTAAGAAAAAGAAGATGGCGTAACATTTTATAACATACTTTTGGAGACCTAAACAATTGATTTCAAAACCACAGCGATTTCCGTGACAGCCTGGTTGGGGTTTTTGTGTAACGAATTCCTCCCCAAATTTAGTTTTCGCTCCCAACTAATGCCAACATATGTAGATAGTTTTTTTCTGATAGTAAAACACTTGCTGAAGGGTAGCCAGGATTTAACAACCCCCGCAGAGGTGTTAGCTCAACCATGACGTATGCATTCGGTCCTAATAAGCAGGGTTAATTTTGTATTTTGGCCAACCTGTTGTCCTGGCAACGACTGCAACACCAAGTCCAATTGTCACCCCAAAGGACAGCCTCAGTTTCGCTTTTTTCTTACCGGCTCAGTTCAGTATTTTCCTTCAGTTGCTCAGCAACTCGGTTTCCTAGTCAAATTTCCAGTTAAAATGTGATCCCAGATGAAAAACTTTCAAGAATCCTGTGTCGTCCTTCCCTGTAAACTTTAGAAACTTCCCGATGAAGTCCTCGAAGGGCGGCATCAGCAAGAAGAGCAAGACCATGGATTACACCAACTACGCCTACAACGAGGCCGTGGGCCGTCTCAAGGTGATGCTGGCGGACAACTCCTACGTGGCTCCCAAACTGGGTGGCGGGGTGTCCTCCTATTTGCGCAACTTCAATGAGGATTCCGGGGACAACTTCTCTGATAATTTATCGGTGGGTGTAAGATCTTAAGAAAATGGGGAATATAATTTATAATAACTAATCCTCTCTCAGGCCATTGAGCGTCCCGTCTTCTCGGACATTTCCAAGTATTTGTCGCCTAGCCAGAAGACACGGATGACCTCGTATCGCCCCAAGAAGAGCTACACTTCGGGGTATCTCTCGGCTTCCAAGGAGAACCTGGCCTCACCATCGGTCCACTATCCGAGTACCTCCATTCCGACTGCCCCTCTTCCATCGGACAGTGTCTCGGCTCCCGTGGAGATTTTTAGTTTTATTGAAAAGCAGGAGGACTACATTGAGCAGCTGGAGAAGGAGTCCAAGTACTGCCGCAGCGAGCTGACCAATTTGCTAGGCAAAGTCAAGGACGTGATTAACGAGAACGAGCAACTAACGGAGAATGCACGATCCGAGCTGGTGGCTCTTGGCTCAGGCAAGACTCAACAGCCGATGGCCACCACCAGTCCTTCCTCGGACAGCGACGAGCATTTGGTCTACGCCAGTGGCCGAAAGACCCCGACAACTCCCAGAAAAGGCGCTTCCAAGGGACAGGTGCAGAGTCCCCGCTACGCGAGTGCCCCCAACATTGTTTACGAGGCCAGAATCAGCGAACTGGAGGCTGAGTTGATGCAAGCCAGCATCGATTTAAGACGTCTGCGCACCGAAAACGAGGAGCTCAAGCGGAAACTGGCGCACACCGATCCCCTCTCCGCGGTGGCCACTTTGGGTTCTAGTGGGGGATCCAACTGCGATCTGCACCGCAAGCAGCTGGAGACTCTGCAGCAGGACAAGCTCAACCTCGAGGAGAGCGTGCGCCAGTTGCAACGGCTCTTGGATGAGGCCAAATCCCATAGCCAGGGCAGCGCCTCCTCCAAGCGCTACATCAACGATCTGGTTCAAATGGAGCGTTCCCAGGCGGAGTTGGAGGTGCGACACCTCCGCGACGAGTTAGACCGCCAGCACGAGCGCGTTCGGGAGCTGCAGCATGAGATGGCCCGTCGGTTGGCCGAGGAGCGGGCCAGCGCCGAGCGACGCTACAACAGCCAGGTGGATCAGCTGGGCGGTGACCTCAGCTGCCAGTGGGAACAGGTGGCCAAGCTGCAGTTGGACCTGGAGCGTCAGAAGCGCTACGAGACCGATCTCAAGCGGGATATAGCCAGTCGCAATTCGCAAATCGAGGAGCTCAAGATGGAACTGAGGGCTAACAGGACGACCTTCCTGGCGGACATGGCGCAAGTGAATGCGGAGAAGCAGTCCCTGGAGCAGGACATCACCTCGCTGCGTCTTCAGCTGGATCGGGCTGCCAGGGAGACTAAGACAGAGGCGGCCCGCCTTACTGCTGAGATAAACTCCCTTAGGCAGCGTCTTGATCGCGGGGATGCCGACTTGCTGCACTCCAAGAGGGAGGTTCTGCGGCTCAACGATGAAATAGCCAACTTGGAAAAGGAGGTGAGTCTACAGATACTTGATATCTTATTTTAAACTTGGACTTTGAGATCAGGAGTTCCAGGATTCTATAGTCTGATCACTTGCTATGATTTCTTTCTTCCCCAGCTGGCTTATGGAGAGCTAAAGAACGAGATACGACCCACCAAGAAGGACCTGGACAAGCGGATCTCCGAAATGCAGGAAAAGCATGGTATGCATAAGAAAAATTCTGTTGATCTTTCTATCTTCCTCACCTCTCACTATCTCTGTCCTATCTATAAACTCTGGCTAAGCTATTGATGCTCATATTGTGTCTCTGCGTGCGTTCAATTATAAATCATAAATTCACAAGATAATTCCAAACAATTCGAACTGAAAATCACCTACAGAAAAGTGTTCAATAGTTTATCCATGAGTTTTGTTCTGTAGCGCGTTGCATTTAATTAAATAATCAAATATATATCCATCATATAACTAAACCGTTCCAATGTCTGTTTGTAGCGGGAACGGTAAATGAGCTTGAGGAAATGATAACATCTCAGAAGCAACTCATGGATAAACTGACGAGCGAGTGTAAGACCCTAACGGGCAAATTAGAGGATACGACCTACAAGCACAAGTAATTATGAACATAATAAGTACCATTAGCTAATTACCACTGAGGAACTGCAATTATGGCTGGGCTAGCCAGCTGCCCCTAGCAAAAATAATTGCAGTTTCATTTAGTTTAATTTGCAACACCTCCAATTTTATAATAAACACCCCCTTAGAATGGTATGTGAAATGTTTAATTGAAAGTCTGTGTTGTGTTGTTGAGATATGGAAAGCCCACCGCACTGCGCAATATGAAATTCAAGGCCAAAACCAAAGTTTTTCCCACCAGTTTTCCGACACCAATTTTTCCTTTTCCGAGATTCGTTCCACACCAAAGCAAAATGCAAAATGCAAAAAGCAAAAAAAACAAGACCTAGCTTGAGACTGGATTAACACGCTGTACTTGTACTTCTTCAAACCTTTCTTTTGCTGCCCGCCTGCAATGCAATTGCAATTTTTCGTGGTAATTAGAACCAATTTGCGATCTTGCGATGCCAGCAGCAGCAACAACAGCAAGCGGGCCTTTGACAGCCACAACAGCAGCAATATCAGCCACTACAACAGCAATAAAAGAAAGCGCAAACGAGTTCACTTTGCTGCCTGACTTGGAAATTCCTGAATTCATTAGGCCAGCTGCCGGCGATGTTGCTACTGCTGCCGCCGTCGATGGCGACGAGATCCTGCAAAACATAATCAGGAGCAACGAGCGCCTGGCCAAGGAGCTGGCCAAGATGCCGCCGCTGCCGAAGCTCTCCAGCTACAAGAAGCCCAAGGGCAGAGCGGAGACACTGGCAGCATCATCAGCAACATCAGCGACAGCAGCAACATCGAAACCCAAATGCTTTTGCCCCAGTTTTATGCGGCACAGACACGAGCATGAGCCACGCAGACGCAGCAGCGGCAGCAACAGCGAAGCGAGCGCTACATGTTGCCGCAGTCGCAACAGCAGCAGCAGGCAATCCGCAGCAGCAACATCAGCAGCAGCCAGCAAATCGCGAACACAAACCACTCACAGCCAGAGCATGCATTGTCACGGGCACGAGTTCACCCTAGACACGCACCACACGCAGCAGCACTCGCCACAGAAACACCACCAGCGCACCTCCGAAACCGAGCCCCAGCAGCAGCAGGAGCAGCTGCATCCGGGAAGTTGCTGCCATCCCTGCAAAACGGAGCCGTTGCCTTGGCTGCAACAGCATCTAGTTTTGAATCAGACCCTAAGCAGTGCCACCGCCTGCCAGGCCACGTGTCAAGCGCAGCACTTGACGGTGGACGCTGGCAGCATGGCGGGAGCCACCTCCTCCGAAGCACCATCGGGCTGTAAAGGTCCCGGCAGCAATGCCCTGAGCGCCAGCATTAAGCCCAAGCTGTACTTCGAGCAGCTGCTGCAGCGGGATGGATACGGTTGCCATAAGAAGCCACGACCTCCGGTTAAAGTGGATGTCAATGTGCGGCTGGTGCCCAAGCAGCCCAAGCCAAAGGCCACGCACTCACTGAACGAGACGTTCGTAAAGGAAGTGGACGCAGTGGCTCAGGCCCTGAACGAGACTTTTGTCAAGGAGACGACCTCGCCGGAGTTGTTGGCTCACATCGATGAGCAGCTGGCGGAGCTGGAAAACGATCGGGAGCGAGAGCAACAGGAGGACGAGGAGGATGCAGAGGAGCAGGAGCAGGCCACGAAGCTTTGATAGTGTTTTTTCTAGTTCACTAAATAGTATTAAGTTTAAGGTATACCAATTCTTAGAACTTGCAATTACTTACAATTATTTATGAATACTTTCTACAAGATTTCACCAGCACATAGGATAAGATTTTCTTTTTCGGGGAAAATCTAGCTGATGCCCAAGAAAAGGGCTATATAAAACTCGCTTACTTTTGATTTTAAAAGGTTTTATGTGTGTTTGTGTTTTTATGTTGTTCACTTATATTTATAATTATTATCAGATAAAAATATTTACCAAGGTTCTGTTTTTCTTAGGGTTTATAAAATTAAAAAACCGTTATTCTCTTGTTATCTAATTTAAATTAGCTCAGTTTATACTTTATTTAGCTTAAATAATATTTATTTATTTATTTACTTTGCTTTTGTTAAACTCCCAGCCAGGAGAAGCAGCAGCTGCGTGCCACAAACGAGCAGCTGATGTCGCGTCTCAGACAGATCTGGGCCAAGTACAAGTCACAATTGCCAGTGCACCAGGGATCCCCAGAGCCTAGCTCTGAGGAGATGCAGGATGGGCACCCACTAGATACTCCGACGGTAAGGATAAGATCCAGAAATTGACTAATACGTGTGTTTCCCTCTTTTTCTCTTCCCTCTATTTTTCTCCCTGTCTTTCTCTCTTTTTCTCCTACTCTGTCTCCAATTCCCCAAACTTTGTCACTATAAAGAGAGGAAATATCCGCTTTACAGTCGAATCTAGAGTATCTGTCCAATCGCATGTTGAGTAATGAGGAGCATATGAGTAAATTAGATACCTCACCACATGATTATAATAGCTTAGTTCCCGGAAAAGGTAAAGTTAGAGTCTTGAGTCGCGACACCGAAGAAAATGAGATCAAAATTCCCTTCGGAGGGGGATTTAAATCTAGGTTATACTAGGAATTGATTGAAATCCTGGGTAATCCTGATTTAAATCCTTTTCGGGGTAGTTTCTTCATCTTTTTTTCCGTGTCCATATGCCAAGTTGAGCACTGCCCACACAGACACCCGCAATGGTACGAGAGCTAACCCGATTTCATCACTCCATCAGAGCCCGAAGCCCAAGCCGAGGAGGCGGCGGATGAGCCCGGAAAAGACAAGAGCGCAGACCCTATACCGAGTCAGATCTAGATTCAGAGACACTATCCACTATCCCACACTTTTAGCATGTGATTGGCGCCACTCTAACCAAAATTCTTGTACTCACACAGCCGCTTACGACTACCAGGCAGCGACATATGGCACCACAATCGAACCCATACAAAGCACCCCACAACCACACAACAGCGCCGACGACGACTACACGGTTGGATCTGGATCAGGAGCAGGATCAGGCGGCGGAGCAGGATCCGGAGCGGGAACAGGTGTTGGCGCCGGAGCCAGTGCCTCAGCAGCTGCAACAGCTGCAGCCAGCATTGCTGCGGGAGCAGCTGCATCAGCTGCAGCGGCAACAGGCCGCAAGAGCAGCCTCAGCAACGGCAAGGGCCTGCTCTCCGACTATGGACTCCACGATAACGATGACGAGAATCTCAAGGACAACCTTGGCCTGGGCGAGAAGCAGCAACAGCAACAGCAGCAACAGCAAGAGCAGGAACGGCAACGGGAACGGGAGGAGCGAGACCGGGAGCTGCAGCAACTACGTGAGCAGCGGGAGAAGCGCGAAAGGGAGCGCGAACGGGAGCGGGAACGGGCCGAGCAGGCCGAGCAGCAGCAAGCGGAGCAGCAGCCAGCACCATCATTGGCCGAGAGCAGCATCGCCAACGCCGGCAGCGCCAACCTGGCCGCCTACAACACCGACTACAGTGCCTACGACCAGCAGCAGTACGAGGCCGGGGCCTACGATCCCAATGCCTATGCCCAGCAGCAGTACGAGGGCCAGCAATATGACTACGGCGATGCCGGCGGAGGCTACGATTACGGAGCAGCTGACTACGGGCAGTCTGGATACCAGTATGATGCCTCGCCGGCAACCACCGCTGCCGTTCAGCCTCAGTCCCAGCCGCAGCAGTACCAGGCGCCAGTTGCTCCCCAGCGAGTGGCCACGGACTACAACAGATCGCCACCGCCGCTGGCAGCGGCGACAGCGGGCATCACGTCCCCGCCAGGCACAGCCGCAGGATCAGCAGGAGGAGGAGCAGCAGCATCAGGATCAGGAGCTGGGTCGGGAGCCCCACCATCATCTGCCGGAGCGAGCCGACCACAACCGCGCCCGGGCAGTGGAGCTTTGGGGTCAGCAGCTGCTGCTGGAGCAGTCGCCGGCGGAAAATCCGCTCTGCCACAACAGTCTGCCCCGACAGCCGCCGGCAAGAAGTAGCTGGAGTCCCGATTGCGAGGACCTTCTGCCGCTGGAGTGCTCGATCAGCAGTCCCAGCCTAATGCGCTCCTCCAACGATGAGACTTGCTCCGAGCTGGCCGATCTCAGCGAGACCTATCTGATTCTGCCCGAAGAAGGCTCCGAGCAGAGCCTATCACCGGCCCACACCACCATCATAACGGCGCGGAGGTCAAGTGCTCCGGCCGTGGTCCAGCAGGAGGAAGCGGTCAACGAAACGGTCATCATCGAGCGCCACTTAGATGCCCACGGATAGGGGTTAGCACCGAGTTCTCCAGCAATCAGTTTCTTCAGTCAACATACGTACTTCTACTCATGTGTTCCAGGATAAAACAATAAAGGACATTCATGTTTTTTAACTAATAAATAAATTCGAAATCAAAATTAAATAAGAATCTAGTTTTTTTTATATAAAAGAATCCCTAATGAGGGCGTAAGGATGGTATTTATATATTTATTTATATATTATTACAATTAAGAAAATTAAGTTAGATTTGTTTTAGTTTGATGATTTATATTCATAAGTACCTAGGATATGAGGATAGATTAGAATTCACTAATCAAACTGAGTAAAGAATGAATAATTAAAGGACTGTATCCCTTGTGATTGTGTAATACTCGAACTTCGCAGTCACTTTGACTTGGCAAACACTTTCGCAATAATTGACTTTTCCACTTGCTTAATTTCCGCCAGTAATAACTATTAATGTTGGAACTAATAAACAACTCCATGATGTAGGGCCACGCAACGCTGTCAAAACAAGTCGAACGATAGGCAAGGCAAGGACATCCTGGCGGACATTCTTCATGTCCTGACTGACAGGCTCGTCAATTGCCAGCGACAACCAGGGCAGGCGTACTCATAAAGTGCCGAAATAAAATGAACTTGACTTTGACTTTGGAGCTTTGCGTTTTGGGCCTTGCGTTTCCTATGAAAGTAACTAGTTTTATTGAGTTTGGGGAATGGGTGGGATGATTTAGGAGCCGTCGGGATAAGCGGTGGCTATCAGGCGCATCCCATTCCAGTTCCATCCGTGTGAGACTATGGTGGCGTGGGCTCGGCCCAGCTGAATGTGGCAGGGTTCCTCCTCCCCCGTGGTCAGGAAGCAGGCGGTGTACAGGCTTAATTCCAGCTCCGGCGAAGTACCCACAAAGAAGCTATTGACTGGCTTCCGGAAGTTGTGGAACGTATGCCGCAGACTGAGCAGCATTTGGTTTTTCTGAAAGAGATTTCAAAAGAGAAATTAGTATGGGTTTTCATAAACCACCCAAAACTAACCTTTCCCATTTCTTGGTGACTCAACCAGCCCTTGTAGTCCACATTGCCTCGCTGCTCCTGGTCGGCAAAGTAGAGCCAGTTGTGCAGCCCGAGAACCGTCTGATCTCGAAGCTCCGCCATAAAGACATGCTCAAAGCTGGAGCTGCCCACGATACCGCGACCTCGGGAGTAGGGTGTGAACCAAAGGTCCTGCAGCAGACGCAGCTGATCATCGTAGTCAGTGCTCACAATGTCTAAAAAGGAAGACAAACAGGATCATGAGCTCAGGGTTCATTACCAATTGGAGCTCGCTTACCCTTGTTTACCAGAAACCGCATGGTCAACTTCATCACTCGAGTGTTCATTACCGTCCTGAGGAAGTCCTGTTGCTCCTGCACGTGTTCCGGCGTAGCAACATCAGCCACAGCCACATCCAGCTCGTAGTTGTCGAAGAGGCGCATGAGAAGGGCTGTCGTGGAGTTGGCATCTCTGGCCAGTAGATCTTGGTGTAATTCAAAGAGACTGAAATAAATTTAATTATAAAACTATGTTTTAATACCCTTAATCATATGTACACTCACTTCCTTGGAGCCCGATCATCGTGGGCGCCGGATGTGGTCTTCCCCTGGAGATTCACCTTGTAGAGGTACGGACTGACCTCAGTCTCTTCCGCGTAGAGATTCTTGGAGAGGGTCAAGACATCGTCGGGCGTTCTAGGCAGCGGCTTGCTGTGGAAGTACTCTAAGAGAAAAACCGAAAGACACATGGCCAAATGTTCTCTTTAGTAACAGAGCAACTGCTCACCGTAAAAGTGCCAACTCAAGATGCCGATGGTGATCAGCAGGCCGACGATCACGAATCTCTTCAGCTTCTGGCATTTGTCGCTGTCGATGTTGCTGCTGTTGTTGTTTGCTGTTTGCTGCTGCACTGCGTCCATGGCGGAATAATCTAATTATCTAATGGCAATTGGGCAAACATTTGTTTAGGCTGTTTATCTTGGCCCGAACCTCAGCACGCTCTCCTCTCCACAAACGATCGCGATAAACCCGCTTATTCCGAACGCGTCCGCAGTCAAGAGCCCACTGAATGACTGCTCCAACTTGGATCAGCAGGCGCTGAATACGTGAGTATATGAGCTTGTGAGCCTAAGAGCAGGGCCCCCAAAAAGTGGATAAAACTCGGGCATTCCCGCTCTCTTGGGGATCATCTGCTGTTTGTTTTCACCGTTTGCTTCGCCAACAGTTTGTCGTTTTTGCTGCTACGCTGGCTGTCCAGGAGCGGACTCGTTGCCCCCCTCAGAGTGTTTTGTGTGTATATTTACTATAGCCGGAGTTTCAACAAATACAATTCAATATTATAACATATGGCACTCGGTATATAGCACATTTTCACGTTAAAGAGAGTTGAAGAGCTAAAGAGAAACTGGGGGAGCTTGAACTTATTATTTGTGTATGCCTCTAATATTCTATGACTTCATACTTTTTTATTATATTTTGCGAATTTGTGTGAAAGTGTAATGTAGTTGAGACTTTAACGAACTAACATTTAAAGGAACTTGGTTTCTATTATATTTTACCCAAAAAATAAAACGCACCTTAATTTTTAATTATACCCTTGCGGTGTATTGTATTTTTAGTCAGATTAAGTGATCTATGAATTGTCCACAAAGTATCCTATAAAATATCTATTAATATCGATTTAAAGTAGGTACATATTTGAGATCTTCTTGAGGAGATGCAAGATTGATACAATGTCATAAGGCAGGTGGCAAGCTATAATATTAGCCCTTCAAATAATTCCATTTATACTTATTTATAATTCGCTGCAACGTGACTAGAATATGTCAGTTGGGAACACTGAAGCAAATAATTTAATTACGCATTTAACAATTTATTTGTTTGACCAGATATCGCGTCATTTGTATTGCCGTCTCGACAGCAATATAATTACGCCCAAATGGGGTCTAAACAATGGTCCGTCATAGAAAAAGCAACCAACAGGAAGCTGTGACGTGACAAGAAACACTATGAACAAATACTTTTTTATACAAAATGTTGCATAATTGAACAATTAAAGAATAAGTGTGAAAGCTAGATTTGTCAATTGATTCGTTTTTAAGGCCTTGTTACTTTTATATCAGTTTCATGCAAAGTTACAGGCTTCTTATATTTTAATTGAATTTTCTAAAGTTTACTGAACTATATATTTAATATTATTTAATTATTGTAGATGTAAGAAACATACATTTATCACTTAATGGCATGACGTTTATTTTTGTGACTGAAACATGCAAAACTTTAATTATCGTTAAAGTAGTCTCAAAGAAAATGGCAAACAAATGGCACGAGAATATAATAATTGGCACAGGTAACAAATTGTCGCTTGTTAGATTATTATTTAATAGTTTTTGCCACATTTTGATTAGCATTCGAAGCACCCTGTAAGGGTAATTTTCAATATTTACAAACAAATAATTATCTTTGGGCTATAATAAACATCAACTTGTGTTAAACTGCAAATTTACACTTCGGATATGTTTGATTTTCCTAGGCTGTGATTATTGTTTGTTTTTATTCGCTGATCGTTTGATTTTCACTTGAATATATTGTGTACATATAGCATTTCTACAGCCTTTAGAGTGTCATCGTCATTAAATAATATGAAAATAATCTAGAATCTATGAATCTTCTAGAATTTCTAGAAGTAATCACTAATTAGTTAAGAGATATGAAAACATAAGTCAAGCTGCAATCATAAAAGTTATACAGATAAGCATATAAATTAGATTTTGTTATAATTTAAAACATTGTTTAGTATTTCAAAAAATAATATGACAGATCCATCTCGAAATACAACTCAAACCTGTTCCTCTTTCGTCGCACCAATGGCTGGAGCTTCGATCAGCCCCAGGGCTTGGAGCGCGTGTTGGTTCCATTGATTAGTGCATTAATTATGTTTTTAAATATTTCCCAAACATTCTCACGCAATATACCCCACATCAGGGGAAATAGGCAGACCATGTCTATGTATACTTTCACCCAAGCCGACCCCAAATCCCCGCATCTGTCCAAGTGCCTCGGTTTCGTCTTCATAGATAGTAACCGAAGATAACCAGTTCGGGAACATTTTGTACACAAAGGCGTCGCTTGGTGGCTGTGTTGTGTCGCCGCCGTTCGGGAATCTTTTATAAGGCCCCCGCGGGTCAGGCATTCTGTTCAGTTTGAATTTTAACGGCGGCGTGTGCAGTTGCTCGGCCTTTTAATCAGCACGAACCCGTGAGTGTCAATTGAAATCTAGTGTTCTATCGTATCCCTAGATGCAAATATTTTTAATTGGGCTGATTACACTCCCCAATTGTCAGTCCCAATGAGTGTACAATAAACAATTACTGTGGTATTGTGTGGTGTGATATTTGAATAGGCTTTATTTGTTTGTTTGCTTTGCTTTTTGGGCGTTATTGGGTATCAAATGGTGGGGTCTGTTCAGTTAGTGATAGTGAATAGCAAAAGTTATAAAAATAGTAGAGCACATCGATTATACAATTGATAAGGTAATGCGTACTTGTTTGTCTGGAATTGTAAGAGTAAATGCAATCGCTTTATTTGATAATAGTATATTCCTGGGCATTCTTAGATTTAATTCAAAATAAGTAAAAAAAAAATTAATTACTTAAGTTTGAAAAGATCTCCGCCTCGAAATCAGTCATTTATATTTGAAGTGATATATATTTCGTAAAAACATTAGAAGATATAGAAGAAACAATTGGTGACATAAAAATAGTTACGCTCGAAAACTTTACTGTACAACAAAATAAATCATAGGTTCTTTTAAATAATTACATAAAATAGGTATTCGTTTTTAGTTTTTTGACATTTCCAATATTTATTTTATCCTATAGAATATTAATTTTACTTTATTTATTTGAAAGTTAAATCCAACTCGGGATTGTTGAAAAATATAATCTAGAAATCAAACTACTTGAAGAAAATACAATTACCTGTAAAAGGCCAAGAGCAGACTTGCCTAAACTAAAAGTTTCTAATATTCTTCACCAATTGTTTTCCTTACTTTTTACAATTTACTTGAGGCCCAGTTAATATTCTCTAAACTAAGCTTGTGTTTTGTTTGTAAAAGTCGAGAAGCCTACTTCTAGAACAATGATGAAATGATGATTATTTTTTTGCAAAGAATTTGAAATCGCTGGATTTCTAAAAAATGTTTCTTAATTAAATTACCACTTTACCTTATTTTGTAGCGTTTTTTGTTAGTTTTATTTTATTTTAAATAAAGCACCTGCCAAAACAGTTACGTAAGCTCTCCGCCACTTTAAGCTTCAGCTTCTGAGAGAGAACTTTATTAAAGCCAGCGTTAGACTGCTCTTTTTTTATGACTTTAGAAGGTCTACAGGTGGCATTTGGGCCCGTTCGACTTTGGGCCTGCTTGGCTTCCAGGTGCCATCCGATTTGGGACTTATTATTACATGGGAGTACCTTATAGGTAAAGCACCCACAGGTGTGTGCTTTGCCTGAACGGAATGTCAATTAAGAGGACAGGTGGTGTACCCCCTACACTACGCCTCTGTAGGGTCTCACTCTATCTCTCGTTTGCTGTAAGCTTTTGCTCAATGTGGTTTTGGCGGGCACTCAAAAGCGCTCTGGTTCTCAGCGTATCTTTGCCGGCAATGAGAGCACTATTCGCTCTTTGACTCACACATTAAAGCATTTCTGAGATAGCGCTCAATTTTCAACTAGAAAGTGCTCAATCCAACAGAATTTTGCTCGCAGCTGCTAGTCAACAGAAAGTATTTAAAATTATTGCACATTAACAAAATATAAGCCACAGATGGCGGTACTCAAAACAAGATCGAGTGATGGATTTGGAAAAAAAAAAACAGGCAATTTAATTTGCAATTTTATATTTAATCTATTTATTTTAGTCGACTTTTAATAGCAATATAAATGTTTTTACGAATAAATCAAGCTATGTAGCTTTAAAAAACAGCTTTCAATGTTACTAGCAGTACAGCGCCCCTATTATTCAGAATTTCTGTAGTAAATAATGTTAACCGAATGCGCTCTGAGAATGAAAAACCGAGTATAAATTTAAGCTTTCTTATTACAAGAGCGCGCAACTCTAATTCTGAGACCGACCGAGTGTAAACCCAACGTGTGCTTTCAGTCCCGTTTTTTGGTCGTCGGTCTCCGGGCGTAAAAATCAAGTTCGCCAGAAAAAATATAAAAAAAGAATAAAATAGTAAACAAAAACAGCAGCGGTTCAAATTAATTTAATAATTAAATATTACATATTTTCAAACGTGTTGATCTTCAGTCCCCCAATTTTTTTATTATTCGACGTTTGGCAAAATAAATAGAAATAGTAAACAAAATCCAGAAAATACGGGACCAGGAAATAAAACATAAATATAAAGAATAACGAAAGTGCGAGCAACAATTGAACGATAGTGGAACGCTAGCGGAATTATGAACGAATTGGGTGAATAAAAGCACACGGCAAAGGCAAACGCAAACGCAAACGAACTGTAAATACGCGTTGCGTTTATCTATCTTCCGCATCTGCCGCGCTCAACAGGCAACAGCTGATTAACGCTCTTTCCGTGCGTTCCCCTCTCCCCCACTCAACCATTCGTACATATATATGTTTATATATTTAATTTTTCAACGATCCACAGGCTATATCCGCTGTGTAAACCATTAAAAAAGGCGCACAGTGGCGGACTTTGAATTTATGGATTTCTGTGGTGTCCTTGCAAACAAGTGTCGCCTCTGGGCGAGCAGCAGCAGCAGATTGTTATTGTTGTTTTTTGTGATTACCATTTGTTGTTGTTGTGGCAGTCATTATCCTTAATGTCCTGTGATGAGCACCATGAATGTGGTGCATCCGTGTGTATGTTCAGAGTGTGTGACTGTGGGAATCCAGGCATTCAAGCTTGCGGCTTTAAAGGCAATTTAAAGGTCTCAAAAGTGTATAATTTGTGTATAGATTTCCTTAAATAACTTATGATTGGTCAGTTGGCTTTCTCTGATTCAAAGACATTTGAAAACTTTAAATAAATTTGTAATATCATAAAATCCTTTTGCTTTTGCATCTTTGCAAGTTTTTTAGAAGATTTTAAAGTAGTTTACTAAATTTAGTTCTTTAGTTGGCTTGATTTAAATCTCTGAAAAATTCCTTTACATTTCTTTTTATATATTTTTTCTAAATTTTCTGGTAAACCTAATCCAAATCCGATTTCAAAGCTTTAAATTTCTGTATATTGAATTTTCTACGCCGCCATAAACTTTTTCCAGCCATCGAATACTGTTTTTTAAGTGGCTTTAGCCCCGCTCATATTTCGAGAGTTCACAGCACTTCTCATCCTGGCACTTGGCAACCGACAGAATGTTGTTTTTGAGTTTCATAAAATAAATACACAGATCGCGGGGTAAAGGCGTGAGGGCGGCGGAAATTGCAACCGAATCCATAGCGACACTTGAGTGGCAGCATCACAAAACAAATATATACAGGTACACTCTCCTCCGCACCGACACAGAAACAGTCCTGTACAAGGCACTTTGGCAACACCTGACCTGCCTGCCTGACTGCCTTCCACCTGTCCCATCTGCACCACCGTTCACACCTGTCCCTCCAGCCAACTGCCTACCAAGCCACCCACCGCCTCACGCCCCTTTCGGCTGGCTGTCTAGTAGCTGTCCATCAAGTTTGCCTTAATTTAATTAAGCGCTCAATGTCCTTACTGGCAACACTCTGCCGCACACACTTACAATTCAGGCAGAGGGAAAAATGGTTGATAAATAAAATATTTTATAGTTGGTTTAAATGAGAAAGGTTTATTGTTTACTTTTTAAATATTTCATTTTTTAAATATACGGAATTTTTAATCCCTTTTTAAAGCTTCCAAACAATTCCTACTTTGTTTTTATAAGTCCTAGTTTTCTGTCAGTGCATAGATACAAGGCAACGCTTGATTTGTGGCTGCCTTTTTTCACTCTTGACTGCAGCAGGCTCACACACACACACAGAGCACTTATACACTTACAGGCCGAGACTTCAAACCGCAAAAGCCACAGGCCATTTGGGCACGAAGGATATTACAGGACGCACACACACACACAGGCAAGCCCGTCCCGGCCACGGAACAAGTTCACATGGTGCTCCCCGAGAGAAGGGGGTCTTGTAGACAAGGTTACTGGAGAGATGGCACATTTTTTATAGTGCTCATAGTGGGATCTCCGCCTGCACCGCCCACCTCGCATGCTCGTTTTTACCGCAGCGAAAGGCAACAATAACATGGCGGCCACCTGCTGCGGCTGCACTTGAGTCCATTTTCCTGGCATATTTGCCTGTTTATTATCCGCCTCCTGCCGCCTCCCTCTGCCACTTTGTTTGTGTAGCGACCGACTGTCTGTCTGTTTGTCAGTTTGTAAATTTTTAATAAGCTTTTGAGTTTGCTTCTTTTTGTTTTATTTGCAGAGAATACTTTTCTTTGGCCTGGCCTGGCTTTGCTGGGTTTGTTTTCCCCTTCCCTCGGCGGACGAGGAAAACTTAAGACAGAAAAGCTAAATGCAAAAATTCCACTTTATTTATTATTCATCAAATTCCGTTGGCTAAATGGGCATTTCACTGTGGTCTCATAAATATTTATTTTCCACTTTTGGTTTGGCAATTTGACTTTATATTTGTTGTGGCATTCTTTTTGTGCTGTCATAAATATTTATTTTTCACTTTCCGATTGATGTGCGTTTAATTTGTTTTTGTGTTTTTCACACATAAATTTTGTTATTTTGTTATTTTGTCTTTGAATTTGCTATATTATCTTGCTTTTTGGCTCATTTCTGTGCGCTCTGTTTACATTTCCGCTTTTCGTGCAGAGAATTCTCCCGCACCCTGTCATCCTCAATGCCTTTCCCAGTCGTCTCTGCACTTCTCCGGTGAGCACAGACGGGGGCATAATAATTTTTGCCAGCAAATATCAGCCGCAGGGAATCGGGGAATGGGCAGGCTGTGGCCCGGGGAGGATGGGGTCAGCTAATGAACTCGAGAGCAGACCATGCTCTGTCCGAGAGGTGACTAGAGATGGTCATTGTATAAGCCGATATAATGATTTAATATAATGTAATAATAATAATAATTGTATTTTATTTATAAGTCAAGAAAGTGAATACTTTAAAAGGACTTCAGGGGGAATAATATGTTTATTTCTTGTAATAAGCTTATTTCTTATAATAAGTTTTTTATAGTAACTTGCTTCTGGTTCTTTATCAATAAATAATTCACTTCTTATAAAAGCTTAGTAAAACAAACACCTTTTTAAAATTCCTTAAAAATTATTCAATCCTTTAATTTGAAGCGGCAATCACGTTGCCATCACCAGAACATGATTGATGTTTAAAATTGTATGAGTAATTGGGGTTTGGGGCTTGCGGTGTATTGGGCTTTGCTTCGGCTTAACTGACAGACGTTAATTTGTGTTTGGATATAACGATGATGATGATGATGATGATGATAACGATGATGAAGATGTTATTTTTGCTGTTTGCCGGTCGATGTCGAAGGCATTGACTTTTAGCACGTGCTGTGCGCACATTTATATAAGCCACTGTTAGAGTCTGTTGTTTTGATTTCGTTTCTGCCCGCTCAGCAAAATTGTAAAACTGTCAATTTCAATTAAAATCGGAGAGCAAAAGAGAGGACAACCGAAATTGACTTAATTTTATTTTCAATTTTTTTCCCTCCACATTTTCAGCTTGAAAGCCGCGGCAAACTTTAAGAGAGAGTTAAAGAGTGAAAACTGAGGGAAAACGGAGCTCAACCATGAACAGCGATGAGGTGCAATTGATCAAAAAGACCTGGGAGATTCCCGTGGCAACACCCACAGATTCTGGAGCGGCGATACTGACGCAGTTCTTCAACCTCTATCCGTCCAACTTGGAGAAGTTCTCCTTCCGAGATGTGCCCATGGAGGAGCTGCCCGTGAGTTGACTAAAACATAAATTTTATTTAAATTTAAATTAATATATTAATTTTTTCCCAGGGAAATGCACGCTTTAGGGCGCATGCTGGCAGGATCATCCGAGTGTTTGATGAGTCCATCCAGGTTCTTGGGCAGGATGGCGATCTGGAGAAACTGGACGAGATCTGGACCAAGATTGCCGTCAGTCACATACCCCGGACCATTTCCAAGGAGTCGTACAATGTAGGCGCTAGCATAAGAATACAAGGTTATTTATCAATAACATTATTATTTCCAAATTTAACAGCAACTGAAAGGCGTGATCCTGGATGTCTTGACCGCGGCCTGCAGTCTGGACGAGAGCCAAGCGGCCACGTGGGCCAAGCTGGTGGACCATGTCTACGGCATCATCTTCAAGGCGATCGACGACGACGGCAATGCTAAGTAGAGCAGGCACCTACAGCAGATGCTACTGATGCCGGCGGTGGCACATGCAACACATGCACAGCTTATGTAGTTCTAAGTAATTGATAAATGTTAGCTATTCTCGTTTTGTAATAATGAATGCGAATGTCCAAAAACCAAAAGCCTAGAAAACAACAAACACCCGAAACGTATGTCTACGTAGAGCTATTTCTCTCACACACAACAAAACACAACACAACACACACGCCCACACCCGCACTTGCATTGCTCTGTAAAGCTTTAACCCATTGTCAGCCTTAAGCACTTGATAACAAAAGGAATAAATGAAATCAGCAAGAGAAATATAAAACCAACTAATAAATACAAATCATTTATAAATCATGCGTCATTTAATTATTTATTTATATATGTTTTCTTGATATCTCGATATTTTTATTCTTCTGAATTTTAATATAAAATTAAGTTTTTTATCTACATATGTATATGTTCATTATAATCCTTGTATTGCTTACCTAACTACCCCTTTTAATCCCTATACATCACTTAAGTTTTCTGATTCAAATTGTTTGCAGTTGTTGTGGCTCTCCACTTTTTTTTTGTATTTTGCAAATCCACATAAAATCATAATTACAATAATTGCTCTCTCGTTCATAAATAGGACAACGGGAACAGCATTTAAGCTCACTTGAAAACCATTTCCGCTTTGCCTGATTTTTACCAGCCGCAACTCGCACTGAAAGCTGAGCAAAACAATGCAAACATCGCTCAGCGGTTTACTGCCACCCTGAAAATGCTATTAATTTTTCCACACTTAAGAGCACAAAAGGGGTAAAACGGCGGAAAATGCTGGAAAAGCAGCTGGTGCTGTTTTTAGCCGAGATGCGTGTCCTGGCAAACAATGTGGGGCGTATGAGCAATGCGCGCATGATGACATTGCGTATACGCCACGATGTGTCCATGAATGTCCAAAATGAAAAAGCGCATTAAGGAGGTCTCAAAGTGTTGGAAAATTATGAAAAGAGGGGGAAAAATGGTTGAACTGCTTGGTCTAAAAATTGCTTCAACTGGAAATTACAAAATTTCAAAATCAAAATGCTAAGAAGGTAAGAAATAAGCACAGCTACAAATTGATTTGATTGCCTAACAAAATTAATTTATTTAGTGAAATTGTAGATTACTTTAGTTACATCCGTACTTGGTCTTTAGAGTCAGGAAAGTATTCATCATGCAATGGGCACTTTGTCCCTTGCGATCCAAATAAGTTTTAAGAGCGTTATTAAATTCCTGCTTGGTGGCATCTGATGTACTCTTCATTTTTTTCACCATTCTGGTCGCATCCCGGGAGAGAAAGTTATCGAACGTCTTGATTTCCTTGTTGGTTTCAGACCTGTAAGTGAGGTAGGTTTGCCGAAACTCGTTGGTGTCCTTAAAGAGCGGATTGGCGAGAATCTTATTCTTGTAGGCGCAGCGGAACTTTAAAAGAAAGTCCAATTTCTGCTGAGTAGTAAGTAACTGGAGAGTAGAGTTCTCTTTTAAGAATGTCTCAAAGTCAGAATTTCGTCCCAGTTTTTTTATCACATTTTTTTCCACATCCAAAGTCTTTTTCGTTAGGGACTCCACCAAAATTTCTCGATCTTCTTCAACATCCTTTAGAAATTCACAGAACTTCTGCTTGTCGCCTTCAGTGGGGTTTCCCCAGGCGAAGCCCTAAAAAAGAAATTAAGTTAAACTGTGTTTGAAAACCTATAGTTAATTTATGCTTACCAGCAAAGTTAAAGTCAAAGCAACAATCAAAGGGAACTGCATCTTGTTGAGCTCTTGAACTCCTACTGTAGCTCCCTGGGCAGACATTACGCTTTTTATATGATTTTATTCTCAATATTTTTTCCCCTTAACTGACACATGAACATTGCGGCTTGAGAACTTTATTAATTAATCACATATTCCAGGAACAATGTAAAGCAAAGTGCGATAAGAATAATAATATTTTTAGTTATCCTGGTAAATGAGAGACGGGAATTTCATGAATTGGATAAGGCAGTTTTTTATTTTTAATTTCTCAGTGACTAAGGAGTTAATAGTGATTCAGATAAGCTTCATTTTTTATTATAAATAAAAAATATAAATAAATATATATTTATTACGAAATACTTGAACTTGGACTTGCTGATAAGCTCAAAAAGATTCGATTGGAATTGCATTCGAAAAGATTCTCACATGAAATGTCTTCTTAAGTAAATTAAAATAATATATTCAAGGCTTTTAAAGCAATTTCTACAGCCTTATCTCAATTTCCCGTCTTGGAGGCTCTGTAAACACGCTAATTGTGGGCGTTTCTTGGCGGATACTTGCAGGCCGTTGCCCAATTGACACCATTGCCGGATAACAGGCCGCGCTGACCTAACAGCTCTGTTACGGTCCGGCTGTTATCGCCAGAGGTTCTTATCAGACAACATCGGGTATTGGTGAGTTTCGGCGGTGCTGTGTGCGTGCTGCATTGGTGAAACGCTCCGCAGAAACGCCGTCGCCGAGCTTTTCCATAGTTTGGCCAATAATGAAAAGCAAAAAATAACAAAGTGAGCAGTTTACCAAAGCGACCGCCAATTTCAGTTCAATCCCGGTGACGCGCGCGTCGTGAAATTCACTTTAATGGCAATAAATTTCGCGCGATATATATTTGGTGATATATTTTTTTGATTCTAAAGCTGTCGACTGCCAAAAATTGTATTTTCCCGCACGGCTGAGTGTTTGAAATATATATATCTGGGGATTTTCGTTTCCCACAAACTTGCCTGGTGGAAACAAAAGTGCATACATTGGAAAAATCTAGTGCTTGATATCTGAAAACCATAAATAGTTTAAAATCCTCACAAAGAGAGTGAAATTTTGTGAAAAGAAATCCATAAACGTTTGAGATTTTAGGCCCGGACACAGGCAAAGGTGAGCCAGTTCCATGGATATCTACTCCCCTGGAAAAGCAGCTTGTACAAGGCATTCCGGGCACTGACAAGTCTTTATAAGCTCTTAGACAACATGTTCCGGGCCAGAGGCTGCTGCTCCGGATTAGACCCCCACCCACCAGGAATATTTCATGCAAATTTCCCACTTTCTCGCACCCAAGAGGAGAAGGCGGAGACCGATTCTTCTTCTTGATAAAAGCAAATGATTGCAAAACAGCACTTGTCCCCGGGGCAAATATCGCAAAGTTCCCTCCATCTAGTTACGAAATTAAAATAAAATACCTAGACGCAAAATTCCCATCGGGATGGGTTGAGTATGTGTGTCGACAAAGTAGGCGGGCACTGGGAAAGGGGTGAGAGGACCCGCCCAGTTGACTTTGTAGCGCACATTTCATACACACGTCGCATTCTGTTATTATTGAATTTGCATAAATCATTGAGGCGGTTTCTTTTGCTGCTTCGCCGGCTCGAGATTTCTGTGGCCACACAAAAAAGGGACTTGCTGCCCTGGGCAACTAGGACCCAACTTATAAATCTCCAATGGGATTAGCAGCCTCGAGGTGCGGCAATATTAAATCGTTTCTCCTACGGTCACGCTCTAGCGAAAACTTGCCAGAAAAAATTCTCATTAAATAAGCGAATATTTTTCATTCTTGTGGCTGCAGTATCACTTATCCAGTTCTCTTTTGGCTCCTGCCAGCAACACGCCATGCTTAGCATAAATTTATAGCACCATTTTGGGGGTCAACTCGAATGGAAAGTGACATGTTCGAGGACGATGCTGTTAAGTAGGCAGCACTTAGTAAGGCAAACACCATGCTGCGTATACGTAATACGCAGAAAAAGGGGCGAAACCCGCGAACACACCCCCGTCTGGCATATGCACAGCTATAGCCACACGATAACGTAAATATTCACTAATCAATTGGTAAGCCAATACCCGAGTAAACATGAGCATGTTTTCAACAAAAGGGTTAGGCAAAACTTTCCTCGCCGAATCAGCTTAAAATAGCGAAACCGCAAAAAGTTTGTTTTCCTGCCAAGTTCGAAGCAAGTTTGTCTTGGCGCCCAAATTGTTTTGATGTGCAGTGGAAAGGAGTAAAGTTTTGATATTAATCAGAGAGTGGAAAAACACCACACGAAGTGTCACTGCAAATTACACATTTTGTGGCGCTAATTCCACACACTTTACACAGGGTTATACCCTCCACAAAATGCTGCATGAATGGCCCTGCCGTGTGGTGCCATTTCACTCCAGGCTCTTAAACACGGCCAAAATTAATTAAATCCATTTAAGCAGAGATTTAATTACGGTTCGTTAAACAGCAGTCGGAGCTGCACACGCTGCACGCTTGCCCCAAAAGGGGCCACTTGCAAGAGTTTCTGGCCAGAGCTTTGGGGTCAGAGTTCAGGTCCTTCTGCCGCTTATCTGCGGTGTCTAGACAATAAATAAAAAACGGGGCCAAAAGCATCAAGGGAATCACACAATTCCCAGCCAAAAAGGTTTATTGTGCTTGTTTAAATTTAATTCAATCTATGCCCGCATTAAAAATTCATAAATAATATATATTTAGCATTGTCAAAGCCCTTCGAATTATAACCGGTGACAAATGGAATTTTAAGTTACCATGCAAATGGAGGAGATCTAAAACCGATTTATATATTTTCGAGGAGGCTATGAGGCGATATTGCAGTAAGATATTGAAATTGGGGTTGGCAACTGTCTGGACTGATGTCCGTATGGATTCGCACGCGTTGCAGGGGCCGAATATCGTATGTGTGTGTTTATTATGGGCTTTTCCGTAATCTTATCGAGCAGGACAGGCAGATGGCAGAAAGGCAGAAAAGGCAGCTTGATTGCACATTAAAAATAAACAAATCCCTATAAATAGACAAAGAAAAGACGGCCCAATCGTAGACGGTTTGTCTTCCGACCTGGCGGCTTCGGTTCATTTCCATTCGATCGCCGTGTCTGTTTGCCAAAGGTTATATAGTCGCTATAAAAATAGTCGACACACCGATTGATATTGAACATAAAAACTGTGAAGTAGCAGCCTGGATTCAAGTGTGACAATTAATTGAGTGTTCTACTCCATGTACAAGTTTACATTTCATTCTATTTGTACTTGTTATTATTGGCATTGAGTAACTCTGGGTAAAAATAGAAATTGCGTTAAATGGACTGGCTAACTGGAAGGTTTTGTTTAAGTAGTGGAATAAAATACACATAAATCGGAAAATTTGTACAATTAAAAGAGGAATTATGGAAAATCTTTACACTACTGAAATCTTTTAAGCCACGTTTTTTGGTGAAGCAAAAATATATCTTACTTCATCTCCTAGAACACTTGATTAAGAATTAGCTTATTTAATAAATGGAGTTAATTTCCCAAAGAGTACATATTTGCATTAATAAGTAATTGCTCCATTTGAAATATATTTCCCCACTGTTTACTTTGCTTAAAATTTCAACCCGGAGGCATTTTCTTGGTCAACAAGTTTGTTTTGGCGGTTCTCGGTTACAGCACGCATGCAAAACCCCAAAACCCTCGATTTAGATTTGTTTGCTTTACACATCGAGTGCTTTGATAAAACGGAGGCAGGCAGGGGCAGGGCAGAGACTGAGGAGCATGAATAAAGGTTCGGCAAATACGAGCACGGCCCGCGTCCATGTGTGTCGTCTGGGCTCCTGAGTGCGGGGCTTAGCACCGTCGACCGTCGACGGGCTTACGGACAGGCTCCGGGAAAAAAACCAGTGGTGCCGGTGGTGGCGAACATGATTGATTCGCCGGGCCCTCTCCGGTCCTACGGCTTTCTGGCGGCGCGATCTTAATCAGGCGGCTAAAAATAAACTGACGTTGGACTGAAGGCTGGCCCAGAACCTGATAAGAGTCGCCGATGATGTCCATGCCAATTTGTTAATACATTTATTTGATTCGCCTTGAGTGGCGAGCGCTGAAAATATTGGCTTCGCTTCTATTTCTGGACTTCCATATCAATGCAAATAGTGTGCTTCATATATGATTGATGTTGCCACTTTTTGGCCCTGCCGCTCGTTTGGCCAATGAAATTAGTAGCCCCTCCGATCCCCGGATCCCCGGAACCACCCATCCAACGATCCAACGATCCAACGATCCACCGATCCACCAATCGCTACTATCGCTGGCAGGCACATGACCCACAGAGTGTTGATATCTCCCCGGCATTTGGCATTCTGTTTTCTGTTTTCCGTTTTCTACTTTCTGTATTTTCTGAATTGTCACCGGCCATGTCGAGTGCCGCGGGCCAAGTGATGAATTCTTATTAATTGGCGACAGGTCCGATTGCCAGCGAATGTTCGATTGCAGCTGCTTGGTGTTTGCCTAGCGATTGGCCCGGCGGCTTCCCCGTTCCATCATCATCATCATCATATCATCTGGCCGGGGTTCCATTCGGGACTTTCCGCCCGCAATCGAAGTCGGCCAATCTGCGTATACGCAATCTCAAGTTCAGCCTACACAGGGCGCTTTATCGGAAACCAGATAAAATGCTTATGCTCTTGTCCGGCCCCGAATGAAATACGAAAATAGTTTACTGCCCGGTGGTCTTTTGACTATATCCGGAATGGGTTTATTATATATGGGGGTATACTCTTGGAAATTGGGTGGGTATATACAGATCATAGGATCTCTTTATAAAATTAGTTGTACAAACATATGTTTACAAATGAAAAATCTGGCAAATAACCATTACTTGAAATGTTTTGAGATTGTCATAAGGAAAACATTGATGGTTATTATACATTGCGATTTTTAGGTTGAATTTTAAACTGTTTATTTAACAACATTTTACAATATTAAATACCCCTTTCAAGAATATATTTAACGATTTTATAATACCTTAACCTTCTTCCCTCAAGCTCCATTTCTTCAAGTTCAAAGTTCACACCATAGAGAGTAGCTCAGAAAGCAAGCCCCATGACTAACTGAAAGAACTCTCGGCAATACACAACCATCACACACGTTTGCCGCTTGTCACGATTAGATTATTAATCGCCGAACGACTAACTAGACATGGCAGCATGTTGACTACCATTTGACACGTTTTTGTTTTTATTGTTGCAGCGTCGATGTGTTGGCTTGTTTTTCGGTTGGTTTGCCACCTTAATGACGCTTTAGTAGATTGCCGCCGGAACTGTTGTGACGCCAGAAGTTCAAGACGTTCGAGTAGTTAGTTTTGTGCGAGATTTTCCATAAATATTCCGCAAGGGTGCCTATTCCAACCTTATCAATGGCCACATGCAGCGTTCCAGCGATTCCAGGGAATTCGCCATAAACAACAGGTCCCATGTTCATTATCTGCTGCATCAAGTTCAATAGAAATTGGACAAATTATTGGGCAGTAGAGGCAATGAGTCAGCAGCAGTAGGGATCATAAAAGCCACAAACCATTCAACCAGCATTGCTTGTCGAAATAATGTTATTAAAGCGGGGATCATAAATATAAATATATTTGATTAATACACCGGGGAGGTTCTGCATTGTTTACTTTGGAGACACTGTGAAGTCACAATTGCAGTTCAATGAGAGATAAAGTTTGTTATTCTTTCCCCCTATCAATAAACTGCGTATCTGCCTGAGAATGTGATAGCCGGAACGGAAAATAAAGATATTTATAAACAGGCCTGTGATATTTATGACTTGGGATCTTCACAATTGATAAAAGTGGAAATTGTTAAATAATTGACTTTTTAGAAGGAAGAGCTCTTAACTGTATTTATGACACCTTGAAATAAATATAAATAAGATACAATAAGGACGGACTAGCTTATAATATAAATTAAGACATTGATTAAAAATAGAGTGACGCCTTTGAAAAAATTATAAATCACCTGTGGGGGGAATATTCCATTCACAACAAAATTGGTATTCACGATGATTCAGTTAAAAAGTTAAAATTTAATAGAAATTATGGTAAAATCGATTGATATATATTTTTGGTAATTTTGTATAAGAAGCTAAAGGGAATGTTGGTTGCCACAAGAGCAAATCATTGTCACACATTCCTTATTTAAGCAGTAGTTCATGTCAGTATCTCCCTTTCCACCCATTTCACCCATTAAAACTTTAATGATTTATATGTTCACAAATTGCCTGGAAGCTGCTAATGACTTGAATCACTTGATTTGCAGAAGGAGCCGGAGCTCCAGACGGCGGGAACAGAGCAGCAAGCATGCAGCGGCCAAACTCTGGTTTAATTATGAAAGCAATCAAAGCAACTTAATTACCCGAGAGTCCTCCAGCAAACACAAGACACAGTGAAGGATAGGAAATCATAGAGAAATACAGAGAGAGGGAGGAAGAGAAACCGCATCGCTGAGAAGTCTAATTGAGATCTGAGACTATGCAAATGAGCCAAACCAAAGCGCAAAGCAGATTCGGTTTACACAATGACACACCAGCAACCGAGAATTGCGATTCGCGCGATTTGATTGAAGTATCAAGCATTCACCGGGCAGGTGTAAACAATATTCAAATGAGCAGAGCCGTGCTCCTTCTAGTCGCAGTTGGCCTTATCCTCGGCCCCGGGGGCTGCCTGGCTAACTGCCGTGAGGAGCCGGCCCGCGACTGTGAGGCTATCTGCGATGCAAGTGGCAGGAATTGCTCTATCCGAGCTCTGGTCCTGCTGCCCGATGACAACATGTACCAAGCATCACTGCCGCGAGTCCTGCCCATCCTGAAGGTGGCCGAGCAACAGATCCGCGCCAAGGCCCTCATCCCGCCACACATTGACTTCGAGTGGCTGGCCCATGACACCAAGTGCGACGCCTCGCTGGGTGTCATCAAGGCCATGGACGGTATTATCAAGCAGTGTGCCCAGGTGATCTTCGGCCCAGTCTGCGATTACTCTTTGGGTGAGTACAGGTAATAAGAGTTTTTATTTTATAAATTTAATCAATTATTTTTCTACATAAAGCTGCTGTTAGCCGGATAACCAAGTACTTCAACAGCCAGGGCACTCCACTGATCTCGGTGGGTGGGTCAACCTATGACTTTGAGCAAAAGAAAACGGACTGCAACGACGAGTTCTACATGCTGCTCCGCACGGGAATGCTCAGCTTCGAGACCATTTCCGAGCTGACCATAAACGTGATGAAGCGGTAAGTGCCATTGGAGTGACACTTGAAGCCATGTCAGCTTATACAGTTTCCGATTCTCAGGCACAATTGGTCGCATTCCATCTTCTATTACGAACGGGACGGGCAGCGGAGCGTGGCGGGTATGCACACCTGCTTCCTGATGATGAAATCCTTGGGAAAACAAATGCGCAACGAGAACATGACATTTTCACAGTTTCCACTTGAGCCCAACTTGACAAATCGCACGGAGGAAATGCGCCGAGAAATTGGCAATAAACATGCAAGTGAGTGCAATAACAGTGGCTAGCTCTGTTAAGAAGCATACGGGTTCTGTTAACAGAGCAGTTCACCAACGCCCTAGTTGAGACAACAACCATGCAGCGAGTGCAATACGCGTGTGAAACTTTGCTAAGGTAGCTTTCTTGGTGGGGTCACCAAGGCGTATACTTAATTTTAATGAAATGGGAATAATTTGATCTAAAATCTGAAAAATATATTTCTAAAGCAAAAAAGAGGATTTTTTAAAAATATTTCCCAGAGAAAAAGAAAACTAGAAATAAGGCCACTGACGTTTTCTTCAGAACTGATTACACTTCCTATGTTTTTATAAAAATATATTTTTTACAAACTATGCCAGGATTAAGTCTATAAGTTTATTTGTTTAATAACAGTATAAACATAGTTAAATTACATAATTACATTACATAAATTTAAAAAAAATCTCCAAAAAACTCTCCTTTCACACCTCGCTATGTGCAAAACATAAACAACTCCTCGCCACACTCCGAGAGCCCTGCAAAAGCTTTATGGCCGTGCCACGTGCAGCTTGCCACATCAGCTGCTGGCTGGCCAAAAATGCCGGTTGCACACAGATCCGAAGGCTTCGATATCGAAACGAGGACGAAACCTCCAGCCGAGTCGGGATGTGGCGAAAAGGCGTCAGAAGCCGGTGATAAACCGTCAAGTGAACAACATCGAAGTCGGACGAAACCGGAAGCGGAAATACGGGAAATAAAGTGAAAGTGAAAGGAAATTGACGCGAAACTCATGGAAATTAAAGTGCAAAGTGAAAGTAATGATTGATGGACTTATAGAACAATACAAATCAAAACGAAACGGGTGAAAATGAGAAGAAAAAAAAGAAAACTCATTTTATGCATAATTCTATGCATGTGGCACGGAAATCGTTTCCTTTCGTCCTCTTGACAAGCCAAAGCTGTGTTATTTGATAAATGATCGGTCAGCTCTGTGGACAATAGGGGATAAAGCCTGCAGATGGGAATTTTCCTTTGAGAAAAGTTTTTCATATTCTGTTATTCTTCCTTTTAAAGGGGAATATGCTGTTTGGCATTTATAAATTAATGGTTGAAAACGCGTGCTGATTATAATCAGTCATATGGGAAATCTATATGTCTATCTCTCGAGCTTTAATATAAAATAAGACTTGCAATTTGCATATCTGGCATTTAATAGGCATTTTTTAATTAATGGTGAGCCGTGGCTTTTGTGGGGATTGCTTTCTCAATTTAATTTGCTGTTATAAAAGGCTCATTTATCATTATTATTATTATTTAATTTAGTTTGCCTCACATATAAAAGCTCATTTAAGGTAGCTCTAAAATATTACCAGTTTGTACTTAAACATCATATGAACTAATAATATCAAATAAATCAGTTTAAAGAATATCTAAAAATTTTTAAAAACAACTGTTTAGAGGAAAATATTTATCAAATATCATAAATTTATTGCTTTCCGTGGAATGGTTCCAACCGTTATGCATAACTTTCTTCGTTTTTAACAAAGGAAAACGTTGGCTTCTTCGCCGCTCATTGTCATGCAGTGAATGTCGCCACTTTTGGCGGCTCTTAGCTGCCATTTCCTGCTGCCTGCTCCTTGGCACTTGGCACATGTCTGCCGACATTCCACATCCAGCTGCGGCCAAGATATATACGTATGTATATATACGACAGCGGGTAGAGGCAACTACAATTAAAATGTTTCTCGTGGCTGCGAAAGAAAAATTTGAACAGAATTTGTGGCTTTTTGCTGCATCCAGCAACTGCAACTGCAACGGGAAATTCTCTAAAGACCTAAATCATCCAACATTAAACCAGTCATAAATCATATTCCAAAAAACCTCTTTGTATGGAACTCACAACAAATTTGAGCTCTCAAAGGAGCAGCTCCCCTTTTCAACTTCGCTGCTGCAAGCACTGCTAGCCGCCATTTTTATTGTTAATCCTGCCGGCGAAGAGGACTACTCCATCACAACAATATCCATTTGGCTAACTAACTTAGGAGTAAAGCAAAAAACAAGCTGTAAATTTGCATATGTTGGCAGTTATTCTCAACGGTAACACAATTAATGTGGTACTTTCGGGTCATTTATTTCGGGAACAAGCTCCTGCACCTTAAGTTTGAAAGAAACTTTCCAAGGACTGCACAGTTTTTATTATCCTTCAATAAAGGGAAAAATCCCCCAATGTACTCGAAATCCAAACTAAATAAAGAAGATTTGTTTTTCATCAGCAACAAAAAATAGCATAAGAATTTTTGAGAGCTTTCGGAAAATTTCGTTTATTTAATCGCAAGCAGGAAATGAAAACATCCTGGCAGTGTAACCTTGATGGGTCATAGCCCGGATTGGCGTGCAGTCGGAGAATTTTGATTGCCATTCCCGGGGCCATCTCAAGGTGCCGACCGCCCGCCCCGTTCGAGTCCGATGAGCCAGGGCTCCACATGCAAATGAGGGTCACTGAGTGTGGGAGACTGGCTGGCTGGCTGGCTGCTAAGTGCATTTGCAATTAGCCAGGACACAAGCGAGTGGGCTCAAATGGCAGGCCACACCGAACCGAACCGAATCGAATTAGAATATAATCGATTCGAAATGGAATTCTGCTCCGATGCGTGGGACTACCCAAAATAAAGACCCCTTAACTCAATCAGGACGCACGCATTTTCCATTAGGAAAACAATCAAATTACTCACTCTCCAGAATCCGAATTAATTAGAATTTCCATTGCTTAAACGCCGAAAATTTTCCATGTTTTTCCTGCAGTTTCACGTGTGACTTGTAGCTGGATTAAAAACTTTTCGCTGCTGTTGCAGCATGTTCAACATTTTTGGCTTCACACACGCACACGTGCAGCCGCAAAAAGTAGAGTACATGTGCGGCTAACCCACACACAGCCAGACTGAGGTGTCGGCTAAAAGCCAAAACCTGTTAGCAGTTAACAGTTAACAACTGAGAGCATCTGAATGGCAAAATATTTATTTATGGCAAACGAAAAGAGCTGTTCCGACTAACAGGGATTTGTTTAGGACTTCTAGGACTTCCGTATTCTTATTACCAACTTTTCTGATTGTTGCTGGGCCAACTTTTGCCGACTTATGACAGGAACTTTTAGCCAAGCTGTCGGCATGGAGTCCTGGAAAAGCAATTACTCAAGTAACTCCGCTTAAATGAGTCCAAGAAAGGAGATGATGGTGGCGTGGGTCTGCGGTATGAATCGCAGCTGGCGACTGCCAGCAAATTGCCAGAAAATAAGCCACAGGACGTTTGCCAACTGCGCGTCTGAAAGTTATGTAAATTTGGGAAATTTGTGACTGGATGCATTTTATTATAATTATAATGCAGCAGGATTTATTAAAGGGAACTTAATTATCCTCAAGGAACACAGATTTTGAACATAGTTCTTAAGTTTACTAAGTTTTTGTTTATTGTTTCCACACTAGTTACAAGACACTGACCCCCAAAATTCATCAGGCACACAGCTAGCGTTAAAAGAGCCCCCAAAGTAGCCTCCAATGCCTTAATTGTTCCCCAGAGTCGAGGTCTTGTAACCCAAGACCACGCTATATACTATAGAAAACATCATAAGGCGCTTACAGGCAACTGAGATGCTCAAACTGTCGGCAAGGCAAAGTGAGCAGCTTAAAAAATAAAGCGAAACGAAAGAAAAGTCAAAGCAAGGAAACGTTCGACAAAGCGTAAAACAAATGTTTGCATCTAGGGCACAGGGTAGGAAATTGGAGGGCAGCCAGTGGGAGGCTGTGTCACTGCATTTGGCGCACATACCTATACTGAAAGGGATATGTGTAATGTGGCATGCAAAATCCCAAAGACTTCCTAGGCAGATTGTAAAGAGTACCAGAACCCACGTAAGCCGGCATGTTTGTCATTTGCAAGAATGCTTTACTCAGAGCTAAAATAGTTAAGAGCATAACACCCACTCCGGAAAGAGGAGATGTAACCAAAACTGTTGCATAATTTTACGCCTAGTGAACAAGTTGGTTGTGTAAGCAGTTTTTATTTAAAAAAAGCATTTAAATGTGTTTAACGCTTGGCAATTGTTGAATTTTAAAATTAAATTGAGGAGAGAGTTTCAAACATAAGGTTCTAAGAATGGTTATAGATAGTACGATAAATTATATATTATAAATTCCTAAAAGTCGAAGATAGGTAAAATTAGAATGTCCAGTTTATATTAGTATGAATTAAATCCAATAATATCCTTTTCCTTTGTAGAAACAAATTGCCTTTTCAAATAACATTCCTGTCTGGAAGAAAACTTTTGAGTTCGATAAAATACATGCAAAACTCCAGCTGCGCTCGAATTGGTTGTAGGCGATTAGCACAAAGAAGGACCAAAGTCGTTCAGAATACGCTTTGAGGACATTAGAAAAAAATAAATAAATACTGCTGTTACTGATGCTGCCTCCGGCTGCAATTTTTGTTGAAACGTACTATTTTTTTTTCTGGCTGCAATAAATTGCAGTCCGAGCCAGAGGCACAAAGGAAAGCCAAGACAATTTAAGCCATTTGAAACCATTTTTTAGAACTTTTGGTATATTGGCACAAGTTCAGCATTTTATCGATTTAATGACTGGCCTTAAATCCAAGAAAACCATTCTGAAAATAGTGAATCTGCCGCAGAAACGCAACGTAAAATTAAACTTGTTCTCTTGGCTCTTAACTATGGTTGTAATGTTTTAAATAAATTTCATTTACTGCTGCCCCAGCCAGATAGCACAAGCCAGAGAGCACCGAAAAACTTTAGTGTTATGACTGCGACGGCCATTTGTTGTTTGTTGTTGACATTCTTGCCCCGCAACTTTATGTTCACCACTCTATCTCGTGGTGGTGCCCCAAAAACGAATGCCGCAGTGAACAAACCGCAGGAAGCCAAATTGTAGATTATGGTATTAATTTCTGCTGAATTTTTTCTATTTAGATATATATTTAATATTCACATTAAACATTAATGTAATGCAAAAAGTAATAAATTACCTTTTTTAAATATACATTTAATAATATAAAAAACAACTCCGGGTCGGCATGAATAAATCAAAGGGAGAACGAAAACATCAGTAAATGGTGCGTAGAATGCAATTAATTCAGCACGAGCTGTGACAG